TACCTTGAGATAGAGTAATATACAAGTGACATAGGCCGATTTATTAGTTTTGAATCGGAAGCTCATGAAACACATAATATTTACCTTGAGATAAGTGTCGACTGCACGGTATAAACCGTCTTCTATTACACGGGCATGGTTAGGAAGAGCTTCCGCGAGGGAAATAAACTCCGGGAGGCTTAAATCCCCATCAATAGCAGCTTCCGTTAAGTAAGAGTACACGAGCTTCGCCACTTTAACGAGTGAAGCACCGGATTTAACTCCTTCGTTGTCTAATCCGGCGAATTTCTTAACCAATCGAGTCACGAGCTCGACGTCAAGCAATGTCCCGCACGTGTGACTAAACGAAGGTATCATCAGCTCCTTGAGAGAAGCTTGATCAAGCTGCCACGCAATCCTCGCCTCGAGCTCCGCCGTGTAATCCCGGGCTGCTCCAAACATGTTCGCCGCTCTAAGGAGACGAAGGAGGAAATTACAAGGAACAGAGTCTTTCTCCGGCGGTATAATTCCGATTAAAGTTTCTACAAAGAAACGTTTTTTCATCACAAACGCCGTTACACTCTCCGATTGTTGCGGTTGCGGGTCATCGGGGTTTACGGTGGCCCCGGAGAGGTCAGGGAGCCACGTGGAAGCGTAATGAGCGATGATTGAGCCGATGAGGTCAGGACGTACACCTTTGGCTTTGATTCCGGCGATGGTTTTAACGAAATAATCCATGTCGAAAATGCAACCATCTTCGAACCAAGAACACTCCATTTCTCCGGTGGTTGCTACCGGAGATTTGGCGGAGATGGTGGTAGATTCCGATGAAGATGTTTTCTCCATTATCTTTGGTTTTTGTCACGGTGCAAATGTGTGTGAAGTTGAGGTAGTTTTTATAAAGTGTGTATACTCTGTTTTTTTTTTTTTNTNTTCTTGAAAAGTCTTTCAATGAAACGTCGTCGTCTCATCAAGACTCAAAACCAAAAATTCCAAAGGAAAGAACAAATTCTTGCCATTTTCTATAACAAAAACAATCAAGTTAGATCTAAGAAATCCAGACGAATTATTGAGATTTTTTTTGTTTGTTAATGGTTTTGGTATTTTCAGGCTATAGAAGAAAACTACAAAGTAATTTTGATTAATTTGTTCCAAGAATGTTTAATCTTATATGTTTAATTCAATATGTATGAAAGGCACAAACTTTATATGATTTAATTTGGTTTAGGCAGTTATGTAAAACCTAAGTCTTGCTCAAACCAATGTAACGAATAAGACAACAAGTTGATTTGTTCCTAAAATCTTTGGTGGTGAGTGATAACAATATGTTAAAAAAAAAAAAAAAACTATCT